CACCACCGTCGAACCACTCTAGACCGTGTTGATAGCGGGTCATGGTGTTCTCGCTTCTGATCGACAGTGGTAATTCGTTGAAATTACAGGGCGGTGAAACGATCCAGTGGCCTATGTATTTTCTTTCCACAGACACGACGCCGATTTCCTTCGGAGCCAGACGCCCCTCGGAGTCTTTGAAGTACTCGATCTCGATGAAAAAATCCATGGTCGCGGTGCTAACTCGAAGGCGTTCAACGAGAAACTAACGGTAATGCTGACGATCACACACACACACAAAAGATGATGACGCAAACCCCAAACTGCTGACCTATGTATTTTCTTCGACTGTTTAGCCGCCGTAATCTACGACGATTTGCCGCGCAGCGTCGATCTCCAGAACGTTATCGTACTCAGCGTAGACGATACAGTTCACGGTGGCGGCCAGCGGTTCGTCGAAGCGCACCTCGATTCGTAGACTACCGTGCTTGATCAGGTTCCAGTGGGTGTTACTATTTGCCGAGAGATTGGGTGTAAGATCGAAAACGAACAGGCAGTAACCGTCTGCGTAAGCGCTCCTAGATATCGAATTACCCTCGTTGAGGAAGTGCATGCCCGTGCCGCTTAAGAGGGTGTGATACGCTTCCACGTAAAGACCGGCTTTGCCGAAATCGGTCTGCAGGGCTTTCGGCGGTACTTGAACACCGTCGACGTACAGCGATAAGAAATTATTACAATAGTTTTTAAAATTGAACGGGTTCAGCTGATAGTTACCGTTGAAGGCCTTGTTACCGACGAAACCTATTATAATACGCTTAGGTAATTGGCCGAGAATCCCGTTATCCATGGTGCCACCGTGCAAGCCAGGGTGCATCGTCAGGGCCTTGACCTCCACACGCGTAAGCGGATACTTGGCCGTTGTCTTAGGCAGCATTTTACAATGCGCTATTAGATTACCAGGGCTTATTTTGGCGAGCCTAACGAGGAGCGTAGCCTCCGTTATATGTAAAGAGCACTCACTCTTGGGATCCATGTGAGAGAAACCATCTCTCGTACATACGAGTCGTAAACGGAGCTCGACGCCGTTTAATAACAATTTGTCTTGGTTAAACACATCGCAGTGTAAATGACCAATCAGATCGACCGTCCTGTCTTCACCGACGAACGCTTGCGTATTTGCGAGGCCTATATTCTTGCCCGCTGTATCGTCCATATGACCGGGCGTGTCGTCGTACCTTAGGGTTATCGTATTGTCCGGTGAGCTCACCTTGATGCTAACTCTACGACTTCGCGGGTCCGCGAACTCCATCTTTCCAACACCCTCCAATCCTAACAGATCCATCGGTCCATCTATACCAAGGTCACTCGCTATTTTCGCGTCGATCAGTGTCGCCCTCGACCCCACGTCCATTAGCGTATATACGATAGTATTGCCTTTTGGACCATGTATTCGGACTGGTGCTATCTTTAGCAACACGTGTCTCGGAACCTCCTGTCATGCTACGGGTTCGTATATACACGACGATTCGGTCGCTCTTTCCTGGGACGTAGTTGCAGGTGTCTTCGTTGATTCGCCACTCGGTCTATGTAGCAGCGTGTGGCGTGACCCGTTACAATCGCGGGTTCTACATCCCCTTTCCCGGCACCTGTTCTGGCGGTGCTTATTGTCGATCAAGCATTGAAAGCAGACCTTATTGTCTCTGGCCCAGTTCCATCGCCTTGATACTGTTAATTTCGCAAATTGACCACAATCTACGATGTCATGAGAAGCTCCTCTGCAATATCCACAGTTTAGTTCTTGTTTGGTGCGTTTAGCATCGGGCGATCTGTCTCCCCTTCCTTCCATCGCAGTGTATGTCCTTTCTACGGGTCGGCGGTCCGTTCTTCGCAAATTGCGATGATCGTCGGCTCTACGCTTGTGGTCACGTTCCTTTTCCGAATTATGGTTGCTCCGTTTTTGCTGCTGGGTGGGCGCGGTCGTATCGAAGATACTGGACTTATAAGCGATTTCAGCTTCAAAGAATAGGAATTTTGAAAGCGTGACCAACCCCGGTTCTTTGGAGCTACCCCTTTCATGCAAGTACCGATTATAATTGTAGAACATAACGATAGGTATCTTCTGGATGATTTCTCTAATGAGTTCGGGACTATGTAGGTATCCAGTATGTTCGGTGGCTTCTAGCGCAGCGACCGAGTTTTTTAGCGTCGTCGCGAATGTCATGAAATCCGCATGGACGCCACACGTTTTCGGTAGCGCCTTGAGACTTGCGAGTATACGATTAGCAACAGTCGTAGGATTTCCAAAACGTAGTTGTAGAAATTGCATAACTTGATTCGTGTCGTTAGTCATAACCATTAGCCGCATAACCAAACTACCGCATCTTTTGCTGCGCCCCTGAGACTCTCGTGTAGGTGCATCATATTCTCTTGCTCGCTAAACCCGATGTTCTTTGTGCTCTCTTCGAATACTCGTTTAAAACTAGGCCATTCTAAAACATCTCCGTCGAAGGTTGATAAGTGTTTTCCTATCGCCATACGTCTAATAATATTCTGGGTTGTGTCTCCATGTCGTGACGCATCGCGTGTTTCTCTCAGCGTGTTTGTTAATTCCCGCGCAAACTCTTGTATGCTATTATCAATTCGTACGTTGCTCCTATCCAAGGCCAAATCTTGTATATTGACGACGATGTTTTGAATTGTTGGTCAGCCCTAGGAATTTTGCAGCCATTCCAGTACACTACTATTGTTTACATTTGCCTGATTACACTCACCTATGGTTCCGCGGTCTGGGTCCTCCTCTTCGATATCCGCGATATTTGCTGCCAGTTCGATATTAATCACTTCGAGGTCCAATCTTTCCTTCTCCGCCAATGTTCGAGACTGGACCTCGTACTACTTTCTTGCAGCTTGTATCTCCAGCCCTCTTTTCCTTTTTGCGGAACAATGTGTTTTGCCCACGACTGAACAGCCACTCCTCCAGTCGTCATCGGGCGCACTATCCATATTCCGGTTCCTGAAGAGATCGGGTCTCGTGTCGTTTGGTATCGTCTCCACGCCGCTTGTAACCCTTGTTGCTGATACTGGTTGTGTCGTGGTCGCAGTTTCTCGGGGTACAGGGCTGGTTAAACCTTGTTCCGCGTTTGGCGACGTAGGTTCCGTCGCTACTGTAGTTGGTGATCCGGAGGCCCGACCGCGTTCTCTCACTCTCCCGTGGCCCTTTCCTCTTCTTCCGCGTGTCATGGCAGTTCGAAGATAATCACTGGTCACTCCTAATAGTTTGCAGGACTCTCGCGAACTGACCATCGCGCCCGCACCTCAATTGCAGTCCCCCCCCCCCCCGGTCACTCCTAATAGTTTGCAGGACTCTCGCGAACTGACCATCGCGCCCGCACCTCAATTACACGTCCCCCCCATCAGGGCCGGCCGAGCGGGCCAACCAATCAGCTAGCGGGGTCCGTAGGTGCCATCCCGTTAGACCCTAAACATCCCTTACCCGGTGCCTCCATCATTTTTTAACGACCGGGACTGGTTCCCCGCAAGGCGGCCCAGAGGAGGGGACGGTGGTCGGGTTAATGAATCAATGCCCGGTTCTTTTGATTCCACCAATTGGTGATTTTATTTAATGAGTATGTTCGCGCTCGATCGCTGGGCCGTTTTCCGGAATTTTCACCCTCTTCATCGACAATCGATGTTCACGTGCTGTTTCGTTTCTTCACGACCCGCCTTCCCAAATCGTGCACCCGCGGGAGGTATTCTACAAAGCCGAGCTTCCTTCACCTCTCTCTATGGTCGACACGTTCTCTCGAATTCGCGAACACGCAGTAGGGGGCGGGGGCGATCGGACGGCACCAATCGACCCATCGACCCATCAGGACCATGCCCCGATACAGACTAACTCCTCCATCCCACGTGTGGCCAACTGGCCCTCGAACAACAAAACAAAAAAACTGTAACATTTACAATTTACCGGACTAGCGCCTTCTCGCTTTCGTCCACAACAAGCAGTATGTCGTACTATCCCGAAAATAAAACTACCAGTTTTACGACGCATCTACTGCATCAGATCGATTTACACGGGACATGGTCCGTTGCTCTGGTTCAAATACAGATTCCTATGACCTTTCGTCACGTGCCAGTAGCGCTAAAAGATTGGGATCACGTGGTTGTGGTCACCATCCGTACCAAACCGAGGAAGAACTACAAAGAACCGATAGCCGGCCTTATAGTGACGGGTTCTAACGTAGCGCACGGCGTTTACGATGACGTAAAGACACTCATTGACGAAATAAACGCTACCAGGGTTATGACGGGCCGTCTGAAACTACAGCTCTGCAGAGGCGGTTATGTGAGCGTGTCGTTCGTCTCTACCGATAACGATCTAGACGATCCGCACGAGCTGAGGCTCTGCCGCTCTCTGGCGCGCATCTCAGGTTTTACCGGGTCGGTCGTGGTATCGAAAGCAGTGATGGCTGTGAACCCCCTGTGATGGCCAATCAACCGGCTAGTCTGATCAACGCCTTACCCAAGATGCTTTTCGTTTACACCGATGTCTGCGAGCCGTATATCACCGGAGACGTCCAAAATCTCCTGCTCTGCGTGGTTCCCCTGCAGCCAGAAAACAAATATGCGTACGCGGCTGTAAAAGTGCTCTCGTTTTCACCGTTAAAGTACATACCGCTGCTCCGCACGACTTTTCAAACGATCAACATCGATATAAGAGACCACCGGGACGACCCCATACCATTCGAATCAGGGACGCTCTCCGTAACACTACACTTTAAACGGCTAGACTGATGGCTCAATACACCGATTACTACGATCCACAGATAGGCGGGGGCCCCTCCACAAAATTTCGGGTGTTCGGGGGGTCACCGTATCAGCGGGGTCATGGTAGCTTTCTCGGTCGTCTGTTTCGGCGCGTGCTACCCCTACTATCGAGGGGGGCGCGAGTCGTCGGTAAGGAAGCGATGCGCGCTGGTCTGAATATCTTGACAGACGTCAGCGAACGCGGTGCTCCGCTGAAACAGGCGTTTCGCACCAGAGACGCCGAATCGGGTATGAATCTTAAACGTAAGGCGGAGGCGAAAATTGATGAGCTCATGAAAGGATCGGGCTATAAAGCTGTAAGTGATTACACGGTGGCCACTCCATCATTGGCGTCGCTGGAAGGAGCATCGCCTTACCCTTAAGACCTGCTAACAAGCGTAAGAAAAAGAGGAGTATGAAAAAAAAGATCGCCCCACCGAGAAAAAGCAAAGCAAGTAGTAAAAGAATAAAGACAAAAATCAAGAAACCAAAAAATAGTCGTAGGAGCGGTAGTCAAATAAAAAATAAGCGGAGCGTGCTGGATATCTTCTTCTGAGCGCTATCTTTATCATGGCCTTCCTACACACGCACTCGTGCGAGTGTATGAAATCGGAGCTCGAGCTATTTACACTACCACCGACGCAGACTACTATAGAGAGCGCTCAGTGGGTGCACTATAAAACTATCTCATCGCTGACCAATGACTCGCCCATTGAATTTGTCGTGCCGGGTAACGGCGACGAGTACCTTGATCTAGCACACACCATGCTGAGTTTACGCGTACAGCTGCGATCCAAGGACGCGTTAGTACCGGACGCTCTGAGCAAAGCAGCCCCGAGTAACTAGCAGGGAGCTATTACTCATTCCGCGTGACATAGACCTATGAATGACGGAGCACCTGTAACGCACCACAACTCATGATGGAGGTCCACCGCTATGGACGAACGGAACGAAGACTCGCGAACTGGGAATCCGGGGACGCCTGGTGAATCGTTGCCAATTCCTATGGGACGACGGAGCCCATCGCGGGACAGCCAGTAATCGCTGTTCCCGAATCGTATGAATTGTCGCGAAGACGCATTTGAATTGTAGCGCGTGGTGTCAGATCGTAGATTTCTGATTGGGGCCGTAGGACCAATCAGCGGTGGTTGCGAATAAGGGGGAGGATGATAGTCTCCGGTGCTGCCGATTACGATCGAAAGGGAAGGCAACTTGTTTCTTCTTGATTGGACTGTCGACGACGCGAGTCGTGATTTTGGGAATCGTTGTTTTTCGGGGTTCAAGTCTGTGGAGAACACACAAATTACGTGCTAAATTCTCCAGATCGAAGATACGTAGAGATTTTGGTAAGCGATTTGTTAATTTTCGTGAGCGACGAAAGCTCGTAACACCCCGCGTTTTGTACGTTTTAACTAGTGCCTGTAGGCACGTGGAAAGAGTTCCCACTTGTAGAATCGCGTTCGTTTAGAGTACGAGATTCCGCCGACCGGCAAGAGACTGTGTTCGCGTAAATATGTTGCCCCTCGTGGACATATTTATCGCGCGTTTGTAAATCGAATCGAGTATGAATGTGTTTGAATGATTATTTCCCTCGGCAATTTTGAG